CCTGGTACAGTCCAGGAGACAGAACTTGTATCACTTGCCTCTGGCTCCAGAGTCTGTGCTTGACAGCATCACAGGCAGGGCTGGATATGAGCCGCCTCTTTCTCCAGCCTCCTCTCCTTGTAAATTCATGGCTGTTATTTCATTTTCACACCCACACTCCTTAGCCATCCCAACAGAGGAATTCCCAAGCTGAGGAGGATGTCCCAGTGGCTCCTGGCTCAGCGAGTACCTGCCTGACTGCCTGGGGGAGGGAGACCTGGCTGAGGAGGGGCAGGAAAGGGGGAAGGGCAGCCATGCCTGTCAACTGGGGCAGAATGGGACAGTGTCAGGGCCTGGCCCTCTCCTGCTTCATCCTCTCTGTTTATCCTCTTATCTCTCTATCCTCCCACCCCCCAGGTCCAGCTCTTGGGAAATGGCCTTATTATGTCAATCATTCACATCTTAGTATAAAATTTCCCCACCAGGTTACTTCCCCAAGTGAGCCATCTGACTGTGGAATAAAAAGCCCTGTCTATAGTGAAACGGGTTTCAAGGTGCCAGGGTGGGGGTCCAGGTGGGGGTGGGCACAGAGGGGGCATCAGCCCACCCTCTCCACGCAGAGCCCCGCCCTCCTGCCAGGTTGTCTGCCTGGACAGTGTGGCTGCACTTCCGCCTGCTCGGGTTACCGGGGAACAAGGCCAGAAGGTGGGGCCTGAAACCCAATCATGCTCCAGCCCTGGCTCCAAGGGTCCAGACTCCAGGGAGCTCGACGGAGACAGAAAGTTAAAAATAGATGCACCGCTTCCCCGTTGGCGTGAGCAGCTTCTTCCTTGCCCTCACACAAGGGGGCCACAGAGGCCGAGGCCAGGTGGGGGCTGCCCAGGAACCTCTGAACCAGCCCAGGCCCAGCATCCTCTGGAATCCCTGAAAATCAGGTGGGGGACAGGAGGGGTCCGGGATACTTAGAGCCATCAGGGCTGTCTTTCCTATACTAGGACTTAGACACCATGGGACCCTTGCTGACAGCCAGCGAGCCCTGGTGTCAAGGCGATGGATCACCTTTGTCCTCCTTCCTCCCAAAGAGCTGATCCCAGGCATCCAGGACGGGGCCAACAAGAGGCAGGGGCCCACCGTGGGGGCACTCTCTAGGCAGAGCTCCCCTCTAGGGCCTGAGGGGACATGTCCCATGGATGCAGGACATTCAGAGGCCCCCACAGGCCTGGCAGGAGGAGAGCTGCAGGCAGGGCCAGTTGTGAAATTTGTGGAGTCTAGTGCGAAATAAAAATGCAAGGCTCTTCATTCAAAATTTATTAAGAATTTTGGGCTGGGTGCGGTGGCTCATGCCTGTAATCCCAGCACTTTGGGAGGCCAAGGAGGATGGATCACCTGAAGTCAGGAGTTCGAGACCAGCCTGGCCAACATGGTGAAACCCCCGTCTCTACTAAAAATACAAAATTAGCCGGGTGTGGTGGCATATGCCTGTGATCCCAGCTACTCGGGAGGCTGAGGCAGGAGAATCACTTGAACCCAGGAAGTGGAGGTTGAGAGGGGCTGAGATGCACCATGCACTCCAGCCTGGGCAACAAAAGCAAAACTCTGTTTCAAAAAAAAAAAAAAAATTGGCTGGGTGCGGTGTCTCAAGCTTGTAATCCCAGCACTTTGGAGGCCGAGACGGGTGGATCACGAGGGGTGGGAGATCAAGACCATCCTGGCTAACACGGTGAAACCCTGTCTCTACTAAAAAATACAAAAAAACTAGCCGGGCGGTGGCGGGCGCCTGTAGTCCCAGCTACTCGGGAGGCTGAGGCAGGAGAATGGCGTGAACCGGGAGGCGGAGCTTGCAGTGAGCTGAGCTCCGGCCACTGCACTCCAGCCTGGGTGACAGAGAGACTCCTCTCAAAAAAAAAAAAAATTAGCTGGTGTGGTGGCCATGCCTGTAGTCCCAGCTACTCAGGAAGCTGAGGCAGGAGAATCGCTTGAACCTGGGAGGTGGAGGTTGCAGTGAGCCTAGATTGCACACTGCATGCCTGGGCGACAGAGCCAGACTGTCTCAAAAAAAAAAAAAAAAAATTTATTAGAATTTCTACTTGGGGGGCACAGTGGCTGACACCTGTAATCCCAGCGGCTTTGAGAGGCTGAGGGTGGGCGGATCACCTGAGGTCGGGAGTTCCAGACCAGACTAGCCACATGGTGAAACCTAGTTCTTACTAAAAATACAAAAAATTAGGCCAGGCGTGTGGCTCACGTCTATAATCCCAGCATTTTGGGAGGCCAAGGCAGGTGGATACCTGAGGTCAGGAGTTCAAGACCAGCCTGACCAATATGGTAGAACCCTGTCTCTGCGTGCACCTGTAATCCCAGCTACTCAGGAGTCTGAGACAGGAGAATTGCTTGAACCCAGGAGGCGGAGGTTTGTAGTGAGCCGAGATCATGCCACTGCACTCCAGCCTGGGCAACAGAGCGGACTCTGTCTCAAAAAAAAAAAAAATACAAAAATAGCCAAGGCATGGTGGGTGTGTAGTCCTCCAGCTACTCAGGGAGCTGAGGGCAGGAGAATCACTTGAACCTGGGAGGCAGAGGTTGCAGTGAGCCAAGATTGCGCCCATTGCACTCCAGCCTGGCGGACAGAGAGAAACTATCTCAAGAAAAAAAAAAAAAAAATTTGAGAGACTGGGGTGGGAGGATCGCTTGAATCAAGAAGGTCAAGGCTGTAGTAAATTGCACCACTGCACTACAACCTGGGCGACAGAGTGAGACCCACAAAAAAAACTTTCTAGAGCACAACGGCAGAGCATTCAATTACCGTACAGAGCGCAGGCTGCCTGCTCTTGAAGCTGCCCTTGGCTACAGGGTCTGCAGACCCTACCCCTCCTTCCAGACCACACAGGGGTCCCTATAGTGCTTCAGTGGACCAGCCTCACTCTGGGGCACACAGCTTGGAGAGGGTCAGCTGGGCTGGATGGCCCCCTAGCCAGGTAATCTGCACAGCTGACCTTCCCAGCCTTGATTACAGACCCCTACAAGAAAGTGAGGGCCTCTGATAAAGCCCAGGACAGGGCCTGAGTAGGTGCTCCATGAATATCTGCTGCGTGAACCGGGATTCCTAAGGTGCTTTCAGCTGGGACACTCCAGTATCTTAACCCTGGGGTCCTGGCACCCATGGGAAGGGAGGCCCCAGGGAAAGGTTAGTGAGCTGGGTGGGCTGACCTCGGCAGGGTGGAGGTGGGGTCCTATCCCAGCAGCAAATGCCCCTGGGAAAGAGCTTAGGGAGCACACACAGGAGGGACCTGGCCTGGTCTGGGGATCGAGGGTCCTCCCCCAGGACCTAGCAGTAAGTCAATGCCTGCAGGTGATTCAGCAGGAACTGGAGGAGTGGGGCGGGAACTGCAGGAGGAGGGCACGTGTGTGCTGAGGCCCTGAGGCTGGGAGGGGAGGGAGGCAAGCTGCTGGGGCCAGGTCCCAGGGGCCTCTAGGCCAGGAGGGCACTGGGTTTATTCTAAGCAGTATGGGAATCTGCAGGGTTTCAAGTCGGGGAAGAGCATGGTGGGATTTGGTTGTTGACTGACTCACTGACCTACTGGGTTCTGCACTCTGCTCTGGCTGGGGACCCCCACCCGTCCACCCCATTGGCTCAGACAGACAGAGGCTTGGCCCCCTCACGATATCGGAAAACTGCCCCAGTCCCCAGGCCTGCCCACTCGTCAACGGTTCCCTGAGGGCTTGCACAGTGCCTGGCATGAGGCCCTGGAGCCAGGGGGCAGCAGGCCTGAGCTTATCAGGCTGTGGCCTCCGGGAGCAGAAACAACCTTCCGCCCAGGGACTTAGTACCTAAAGCGGGAGGAGACACAGGACGGGGCAGCAGGCAGGGCCTGGTCCAGCCAGCAACCCCGGGAACTCGGCCACAGGGTCAGTGCTGCCCCCCAGGCCCATCTGTGCCAAGCCTGCTCCCTCATCTGATAACCCCCCACGGCACCGGCCACATGGGTTGCTGGCCCTGCCTCCCTCGTGGTTCCTTCCCGACAGCCCCAGGAGCAGGGCGCACCCACAATTCCCACTGTTCAGATGAAGAAAACAAGGCTGGTGAGGTGAGGTCACTTGCCCCAGGTCACAGAGCCAGAAGAGGTGGCCCCATTGCCTAGTCTTTCAGACAGGAAGAACATTCCTTCCCAACCCCGCCCTTAGGAGACGCAACCCTGCGCCAGTTTTGCTCTGTGACCTTGGGTCAGTGGCTCCACCTATCTGAGCCTCTGGTTTTTTGGTTTTTCTTTTTTGGTGTTTTTGTGGGTTTTTTTGAGATGGCATCTTGCTCTGTCACCCAGGCTGGAGTGCGGTGGTGCGATCTCGGTTCACTGCAACCTCTGCCTCCCAGGTTCAAGTGATCCTCCCACCTCAGCTTTCCAAGTAGCTGGGATTACAGGCACGTGCCACCACACCCAACTAATTTTTGCATTTTTAGTAGAAACGGGGCTTCACCATATTGGCCAGGGTGGTCTCAAACTTCTGACCTCAAGTGATCCGCCCGTCTCAGACTCCCAAAGTGCCGGGGTTACAGGCATGAGCCACCGCACCCAACCTGATTTTTTGGTTTTTCAAAAAAATGTTTGTAGAGATGGGGTTGTGCTATGTTGCCCAGGCTGGTCTCAAGTTCCTGGGCTCAAGTGATCCTCCTGCCTCCGCCTCCCAAAGTGCTGGGATTATAGGCGTGAGTCACTGTGCCTAGCCAGAGCCTCAGTTTTTTTTTATCTGCCAAGTGGACCTGCTAAGCTCATGCAGATCAACTTCTGGAGCATTTGAAATGATAACCATTCAGGTCTCAAGGAAATGATAGGTTTATCCCAACACCAAGATACTATCTTTCTCTCAATCTCTCTCTCTCTCTCTCAATCTCTCTCTCTCTCTCTCTGCAAGCCAGCCTGAGAGTGAGCCTTCTGGTCTCTGGCAGCAGGAGGAGGATGTCTCTGCCCTTGCCCATTAACAAGCCCCGCCCCTGCACCCCGACACAGGACATGGGCGGAACTTACGCAATCCTCCGGCTCTGTGCGCTGCTGAAGCCTGCGAAGGAGGCGCTCCGGCCCACGAGCCCCACAGCCCCTGTGTCCCCAGGGGACAGGAACCGCAACCTCACTGACATGGCGGTCACCTGCAAGGAGAGGACAGGAGAGTCAGCCTGGCACCATCATCCAGCGAGTGCTGTCCGCAGGTCAGCTACCTTCCACCACCACCTACAGACCTCACGACGGCCCCAGAGTGTTGTGGGGGCTGGTACTGTGCCTGGCTTACAGGTCAGCAAGCTGAGGTCCCATAAGGGTAGGGGACCTGATGGGGGACAGTGATGGGAACAGAATTTGAACCCAGGTGTCTGTACTCTGCACTCTGTTCTCAGGTCCCTAATGCCGGGCAATGCTGCCTCCCAGAGCAGGAGGACGGCACCTCCTGAACACAGCCCTCTCGCCCCCACAGACACTCCTCTCCCCCCTCCAGCCCTCCCTGAGCACCTAACACAGGTGAACTCTGCAAGGCAGGTCAAGTCCCCCCATCCTCAAGGGCCGAACAGTCATGATACAGAGTCTATGTTGGAGTGATGGGGGTCCCCAGAGGGCATCTGACCCAGCTGTGAAGAGGCGCCCAATAGCTGAGGAGGAAGGCTGAGGTGGGGTGAAGGGGAAGCGTGTCCAAGGCCGAGGGAACAGCCTGAGCAAAGGCCAGGACGCATGAGGGGCCTTGGTGTCATCCAGAAGCAGCAAGAAGCTCAGGGGGCTAAAGATGAGGTCAGAGAGGCCGGCAGGGCTCGGGTCCCGAGGGGCCTTGGTAGCCTGAAGGAGGGGCTTGGCCTTACAATGGGGCAAGGGTGACTGGGAGCCATGGGAGGGCTTTGAGAAGCGGGTGGAAAAGCCCAATTCACAGGAAGTCAGGCTGCTGGCGTCAAAGCTGCTTCCACCCCGATCCATAGCCCCGTCTCTGACCCGCCCTGCAATGGGGTCAAAGCCGAGCCCTGGCCATCTTCTCTTTTTTCCAAACCATCTCTAGATTGGAAAAAATGCCACCCTATCCCTTGGGAATGTAGGTCAGCATCTTCTAGCATGGGCAACTGGAAAGTTCTCCTTCATATCTAACCTAAATCTCAGCTGCTATAGTTTCATACTTTGCTCCTTTGCCAGGGTGGTGTCAATCCAAGGATTCCAGGGACCGCACTGCCCAGACAAAACCTATGAAAAAGCTCCAGTCCACCTAGGCCCTCATCTTCCTGCACGATGAGACCCCCATGTTCCAACATCTCTTTCCCCCAGGGGCCAAGTCCACCCTGCCACACCTCTGCTCACTTGGGGGCCTCTGCCTGGAAAAACTTCCTCTATCGAGCCACATCTGCGCAGCATCTACTAGTGCATCTCCTGGCAGATCTGTGCAGCCTCCACAGGCCTCCTCCCATATATCCCCCACCCCACAGTCCCACATGTGCTGTACACAGGAAAGCTTGGCAACAAAGAAAGTGGATCTGGGTTCAAATCCCAGCTGTGCCACTCAGGCTCTGGGCCTCAGTGATCACAACAGTAAAATGGGAATTCAGAAAGGACCTCCCATGGAGACTGCTGGAAGGACCAAAGAGAGCACGTCCTGAGAGCCCACAGTGTGCAAGAGACACGTCAGAAGGGCTGGCTCTGTCTGTGCAATTGGCTAAGACCCCAGCCCTGCAGGCGAGCCAGGTGACTCAGAGAGAGCCAAGTGAGAAGTGAGCGGCTTCTAGCCCTGATGGAGGAAGGTGGCAAGCATTTGCTGACCACTCGCTGTGTGGCAAGCCTGGTGCCCCGTGAGTGGCTACGAATCCATGAACAGCTATGAACCCATGACTAGCAGCGTTGTGTACAGATGGGGAAGTTGAGGCATCATTCATCAAGTGCTCATTACTCATTACTAAGCTGGCCCTGCACTAAATGCTTTATGTAAATTATGAAATCCACACAACCCTCTTAAGAGCAGGAGCTTTTGATGACCTAATTCCATAGATGAGGAAACTGAGGCTCAGAGAAGTGATGAGACTAGCCCAGGGGCCCCAGCAGGGCACCTGAGTACTGGGTTTAGAACCCGAGGATGCCCGATGTCAGAGCTTGTCTTACCTGTGGTCAGGAGTGCCTTGCATTGGGGCCTTGCAACGTCCCCCCAATAAAGAGGTCCCCCCACAGTCCCCTCCTGTGCTGTGCTGTGCTGAGTACCAGCTTGTACCAGCTCACAAGAGTCAACTGGGCCAGGCACAGTGGCTCACACCTGTAATCCTAGCACTTTGGGAGGCCGAAGCAAGCAGATTTCCTGTACTCAGGAGTTCAACACCAGCCTGGGCTACATGGTGAAACTTTGTCTACTAAAATACAAAAAATTAGCTGGGGGTGGTGGCAGGCACCTGTAGTCCCAGCTACTCAGGAGACTGAGGCAGGAGAATCGCTTGAACTTGGGAGGTGGAGGTTGCAGTGAGCTGAGGTCATGCCACTGCACTCCAGCCTGGGCAACAGAACAAGACTCTAACTCAAAAAACAAAACAAACAAACAAAAAAAAACAAGAGTCCATTGTTAAATGTTCAGCAATTTTGTGAGCCTGTTGACATCATGGTGGTGGTTTGAAATCAGCCACAGTAAGAGTATTTACACCACAGAAAGCGGCAAGTTCTACAAGTTAAGAGTTTCTGTCTGCTGCTTGTTAAACATTTATGAGCTCCTCACTGCTGTTGCCCCTATCAGCACCTATTCAGGGCCTGAGAAGCTGCTCAAACTGCTTGATCCCCCCAGCCAAGCCAGGCAAGAGAATAAGGATGGAGTAGGGAGGGATTCCCCAAGGCGTGTAGTTGGGACGTGCTCTGGAGCCAGCCTGGGGACTGGAGCTGAAAGGGGTCTCCCCAGCCCCTCCCTCTGCACCTCCCCATCAGAAGCCTTCTGGGCCATTCCTGGAGCTTCACCTCAGTCACTCCACTTCAAGGTCAGAAAGAAGGACAATTGCTAAGCAGTTCCTCCCCATGCAATGCTCAAAACAAGCCCCAGGTCCTTCTGCTCAGTGTGAGATAGAGGAGGACAAAGGAGGGAAACTAAGGCTCAGAGCAGACCTGCAGAACCTGACAGCAGATTCATCACTCACAGCACTATGAGGTTCAGTGGCCCCATTTTTCTTATGAGGAAAGAAAGGCTCTGAGAGGTGAGAGGCAACTTAGGGACACACATATTTCTTTATTTCCTTTTCTTTCTTTCTTTCTTTTTTTTTAAGACAGGATCTGGCTCTGTTGCCCAGACTGGAGTGCACTGGCACAATCTCAGCTCACTGCAACCTCCACCTGCTGGGCTCAAGCCATCCTCCCACGTCAGTCTTTCAAGTGGCTGGGACTACAGGCACACCACACCCAGCTACTTTTTGTATTTATTGTAGAGACGGTTTTGCCATGTTGTCCAGGCTGTTCTTGAACTTCTGAGCTCAAGCGATCCACCCACCTCAACTCCCCAAAGTGCTGGGATTATAGCCGTGAGCCACCATGCCTGACCAGGACACATATTTTTCAAACTGAAGTCTGGCTCTTCCTTCTTCCACGTGCCATCGCCACATGGATTGGCTTCCTGGCTAAACCCTCCTCATCTTTCAGCCCACGTGTCCCCTCCCCCAGGAAGCCTTCCTGGACACCTCCCCACTCCTAGCTGTGTCCGGTGTTTCCTCTGGACGCCCCTGACTTCCTCTGTTATAGTGGACTCTGAATGGTGACTTGTCTATCTCCCCATTGTAGACAGGGAGCTCCCTGCAGGCAGGGACCAGGTGCATGGAAGATTGATAACACATCTTTATTGAACCAGAAAACAATGAAGGAAAGGTTGACGCTGCTTCCCCTACTTCACCAGGCTGTGCAACCCGAGAGGAGGGTGCTGGAATAGTAACAGTAATAATAATAATAATAACCACTATGTGCTAGACTCTAAGGCAAAGATGAACAAATGTTTTCTGTAAAAAGCCAGACAGAAAGGCTGGGCGCAGTGGCTCACACCTTTAATCCCAGTACTTTGGGAGGCTGAGGTGGGTGGATCACCTGAGGTCAAGAATTCGAGATCAGCCTGGCCAACATGGTGAAACTCTACTAAAAACACAAAAACTAGCTGTGTGTGGTGGCACATGCCTGTAGTCCCAGCTACTCTGGAGGCTGAGGCAGGAGAATCGCTTGAATCCGGGAGACAGAGGTTGCAGTGAGCCAAGATCAAGCCACTGCACTCCAGCCTGGACAACAGAGCAAGACCCCACCTCAAAAACAAACAAATAAAAAGCCACATAGTACATATTTTTGGTTTTTCAGGCCATACAGTTTTTGTCACAACTACTCAGTTCTAGCATTTTAGAGCAAAACCAGCTGCAGACATTATGTAACTGAATTATGCCATGGCTGTGTTTCAGTAAAACTTTATTTACAAAAGCTGCAGCAGCTGTTGAGGATGATGGGTGGCCCTGCCTCTGACCCTTGGGTAGCTAGCACTGCTTGCTACCTGCTCTAAGGACTTAAAATTGTCATTTCATTCTCCAACACCATATGAGACAAGTACTATTATTATCCCCCATTTTGCAGATAAGGAAACCGAGGCTCATGCCAGGCATGGCGACTCATGCCTGTAATTCCAGCACTTTGAGAGGCTGAGGTGGGCGGATCACTGGAGCCCCGGAGTTCGAGACCAGCCTGGGTCTCCTAATGAGAGCTGGTCCCTACAAAAAATACAAAAATTACCCAGGTGTGGTGGCGTGCACCTGTAGTCCCAGCTACTGCGGGAGGCTGAGGCGGGAGGATCACTGGAGACTTCCCGGCAAGTCGAGGCTGCAGTGAGCTGAGACTGCACCACTGCACTCCAGCCTGGCTGACAGAGTGAGACCCTGTCTCAAAAGAAAGGAAGGAAGAAAAGAAGGAAAAGAAAAAGGAAAGGAAGAAAAGAAGGAAACCGAGGCTCAGAGAGGACGGAAATGAGTCCTCCGAGGTCACACAGGTAGGAAGTGCCAGAGCTGGAAGTGGACCTGGGCGCGTGGACTCCAAAGCCTGGCCTCGGGACTAGGCTGCGCTTGCTCCCGGAGCTCTGCTGAGGACACGCCCCCCTCCCAGGAGCCAGACCTCCTCCAGGAGGGAAGAGGCCCCAGGATGG